TTGTTAGTTGACCGGATCGTTTATTTAAATAGCATGTTCCCACAATACTATCCGTCTATCCATAATATATCAACCCTATATTCCTATGGTCTTGAATCTATCATGAACGAATATAATACGGTATTCAACTAAGCAAGACTGTTAGGTATATTCCTATCCTATCCGCAAAATCTTTCTCCGAGCCACGGGTTCAGAAACAAGCTCTCTCCAATTCTACTATAATCTAAACACTGCTCTCCCAAGCATAGCATAGATAGTAAATAGAACTCAACTGCTGGCCAAACAATTAAGCAATTACACACAAAATTAGAGAAACAACCAAAGATGATAACTCGAATTAATGATAATATAATTAATAAACTTCAATATTCATGACAACCACAACCCTAGAACATGAAGTTTAGCTCCACATAGACATGGTAGCAAAATAAAAAATCATCAAGAAAAAATAAAGATTACTAAGTTTGATGGAAGAAAGATGAAATCTGATGAATTCCGGCCTCCACGGCAGCTCCGTGCTCTCCATAGGTCTAAAGTCGGTCTCATCCCAAAAAATAATGTTTAATGACTATATATATATATATATATGTAGGGAAAAAGCCTAGACGAAATAACCTAGTCCAAAACCAAAAAGGAGACAAAATAGACTTGAAACCTGGAACACGCGAAGCACCTCGTAACAGATCGCCCCTCGCGAGGCAAAACGCACGGTGAACCTCGCTGCAACCCTCGCGTCTCGAGGCAAAATGCTAGGAAAATTGCTCGCCTCGCCTGCTTCTGCTTCGTTTACAATGATTGATTTCTTCTGCCTAACTTTCTAATTCTCGTTCCTGTTTTCTTTCTTTTTCAATTTGTAATTGTCTTTCTTTTGTCTTCTTTTACAATACTAAACTTCAATCATTGCCTAATTATATCATTATAATATTTCCAATCAATAAATGATCATGAATCATTCTTGTAGTATATAAAATACACATAAACGTTTTAGTTTGTTCCTTATTTCATCTCCAAAATACCTACATATAAAATAAACTCAATTAAGCATAAATATAATATAATTTAGCATTAAAGAATCTAAATGTAAGGTAAGTAATGCACTAAAAATATATAATTATAGCCAAATATCAATTAATTACTCGGATAATTATTAAGAAAATAAGTATATAGTTAATTCACTAGTTGGTTGGCCTAGCTATAAGGTTGGGCGTCATCACGACCCATAGGTAAAATTGGGTCGTGACATTCAGCGTAAGATCAAGAATATCCTGCAATTCATTACATCTATCACAATTATAGGATCTTACCTCACTTGTTTCACCTCGTACCATAAAAATAATTTCAGTATCTTCTCTGCATTCATCGTCATATACATCTTCATCATACCGACAACTAGAGTATTGGTTCATGTCATTTTCCAAGATGGTCATGAAGCACAAATTTGCTATTTCTTTGTAAGCTGAACTATCTTCAGCACTCCAGCTTCCGAAGAATTTGTTTTTACTGAATCTTCTTGAGACTTTTCTTTTAAGACTCAAAACACTTCCCGTCATTCTTGTCTTGTTCATTGGATTGGCTGGTTCTCCTAGATGACATACTTCCCCTTCTTGTGTTTCTATATCTTCTCATCAATCCATCCATATTTTTTCATACCATGACAATTTCTTCTTCAAGAGATTCTAGGTCGTCATCAATATCATCTTCAGATCCTTCAGTTGTAGTTTTTAAGGCACCTATTTTCTACTTTTCTTCCTGACTTGTTTTCTTGAGATGAGTTTTTTCGAATGCTATAAGATATTCTCTTAGTTCATCATATGAAAGTTGGTTTAGATCTTGAGATTTGAGTGTAACTACTTTTGTCTACCAAGTGGTAGGTAAAATTCTTAGGAGTTTTCGAATTTGATCACCACTTGAGTAAGGTTTACCAAATGCTTTCAGATCGCCAATAATTTTGGTGAATCTTTCACTTTGCTGGTTCCTTCATAGGTGACTTTCAGTTTGTCCCACATTTCTTTGGTTATATCACAACTTGAAATTTTCTTATACTCTTCTCCACTTATAGCATTATATAACAAGTTTTGTGCCTTAACATTAACCTGAACAACCGCTATTTGATCGTATGTGTATTTATCTATATCTTCTGGATCAGTGGGTTGTTGAGCTACTGCTGGTAGTGGATAGTTTCCCTTTATGATAACGCGTCATACTTTAACATCATAGGATTTTGCATAAATTTTCATTCGCACGTTCCAGTGAGAAAAGTGTTGTCCATTGAAATATGGTGACCTGACTTGCGACATTTTTTCTTGAAAGAGTGCTCCAATAGTAACTTGATTTTCCATGATAATTTTTCACAAGCAGTTAAGAAACAAGTGTGATACCTACACTGATATCAATTGAAAGTGCAAGAGGGGGGAGGGGAGGGGTGATTTCTAATTTATTTTTTCTTTTTCAAGGTGGTCGACTAATTTGCGTTCTAGTTGACTGAGTTTTTCAAAACTGAATATAGAAAATAAATTACAGAAAGTAAATGACATATAATATTTTATACTGGTTCGGATTCAGAATGAATCCTACGTCTAGTCCCCTTGGGTTACAAGGGTGATCTCTTTCAAGTATGAAGTGGCTTAGTACAGATGGGTTGATATTGTTATACACCAATAACTTTTGTCACTTTTCTCTTTTCTCTATAATTGATACAATGCCTCAACAATGTTCTTTTCTCTCTCTATTCTCTTCTTTGTTACACAAAAAATCTAAAGCAGACTACGGTGCTTGTTTGAAGTAAAACAAAGAGATTGAAATTGGTTCGATCAAAGTATATCTTTTCAAGGTTAGTGCAGTAGGTATTTATACTTCGTGAGGCCTTCATGTCTTGTAGGTCTTTTGAGAGATTGCAAACCCAAGGGAGTTGTTCTCAAAAAGGAATCTTAGATTGATTCTTTCCAAGACTAATTCTTCTGTTGACTTGCCTTGACTCGTGAGCTTGATTTATTTCTTCCTTTAATGAGAGAATATTCTCGTTGTCAAATCCCTTGATTTATGCTTCGATTGGTGTATTTATGTGAAAGAATCTTCAGCGGATGATTTGGTGCCTTTGACGTCCTTTAATTGAGATCTTTCCTATAATATCCTCTTTGATTGATTTTGTCAGCACCCTTGATTGTTATTTTCGCTCCTCTTTCCTTTTTGGTTTTGATTCTTTTATGCCTCTATTCTATTGCTCAGAAACTGATCTTGCACATAATGAGTAATTCGTTATTTTGTATCATTGAAATCAACTTAGATTTAATAGAGATCACTATATTGGAAGTTATATGTGAAAAAATTGCATATAGCACAAAGGAGGGACCATCAGACACCGGCCAATCGAGGCAGAGCCGGACCTAGGATTTGAAGGTCGCGGGTGTATTTTTTCATTCAATCAAAATCTGTTTTATATATAGGATGTCACTACTAATATATCACTATTTTTTAAAAGATATATACATGTATACATGAAAATTTTGCCGAACTGCCAGTGACCCCTCTCTTTATAACATAGGTCTGCCTCTGAACCGAGAATTTAAAGTTTATAGTTCCGAATTTTAGACCTTTTGAATTATTGAATTCTAAATTAGTAATTCATATGGTTCTGATTTGTAGACCTTTTGAATTATTGAATTCTTAATTAGTAATTCATAAATATTAAATGAATTACTTAATAAATATAAAGTTTAAGTCAAAATTATTGGATTCTATCGAACTCGTACCTTAGAAAGAATTAACAGGGCTATGATCCATCCACCTATGCCAAACGATTGAAACTGGAAAGGAAATTTCAGAGTGGACTGTCATTTCATACAACTAACGATGACAACGTTATTGTCCTACTATTTGCAGAATGAAATTGTCATTCTTCATAAACCGTTTGAGTTGCTTTTGGATAGTGATATTTCACCTTCGTTGCCGTATTTGTTGTGGCCACGGTCTGAATATTCTAGTACTCCCTCCATCACTTTTATGTGATACACTTTTTATAAAATAAATATATAATGATGCATTTTCTTATTTTAAAATTAGCATATCAACTTCATCCTTAATGACATTACATGTTTGGACCCAACAATAATAACAACAAAAACAAACCCACCCCGGTATAATCTCATAAAAGTAAGGTTTGGAAAGGACAAAATGTACGTGAATTTTACCCCTACCTTATGAAGGTAAAGATACTATTTACATAATTTTCTTTTTGTTGTGCGTCATCGCCACTTATTTGATTACTTGTAGTAAAGTACTCTCTTCATTCCCATTTAGTTGTCAAAATAAGATTTTACACATCCATTAGAAAAATATTATCAAGAAGAGTGATTTGAATAATCCACCTCACATCAATTCTTTATATTTATCTATTTACGTGCCTCTTAATTCTAGAACAATTAATGTTAAGGATAAAGCTGAAAAAAAGAACTAATTCTCTCTTGATTTTTTAAAATGACAAGTATTACTATTTTTAGTATACATGATAACTATTCCCTCCGTTCACTTTTAATTATCAAATATTTTAAAAAATATATTTATTTATTTTTTATTTGTCACTTTTCGCATATCAAAAAAATAATAATTTATTTCTCTTGTTGTGTCCTTACCATTAATTACTCATTATAAATTATTTTTCTAATCTTTTAAGACTATACACTAATTAATATGGGTATCATGGTAAATTATGCACTTTATTTATTATTTTTTAAGAAGTGTGCAAAGTCAATAGTGAACAAGTAAAAGTGAACCAAAGGAGTAAATGGGAATGGAAGGAGTACCGAAAGTTTTTATACTTTGCCATATTGAGCTTATACATCAATATTTTTCTTTTATTTCTTAAATTCCGATCCGTGTCCAATCAAATACAACTTTAATGTAAAATGGGACAAAAGGATTTATTAAGTGTAAGATTTTTCCACATGACATTTTAGGATAAATACAACAAGGTCAATCAAAATTGTAGCCACAACTTTAAAAGTGTCAAAGACATTTCAAACATGAACTATTAAGAATATTATCATAATAAATTGCTCCATTATATCCTCTGAAGAGGAACAATGAAGGTAAGTACTATAAAAAAAAATTTTTTGATAGTATCCAAAAAAATGTGCAATAAACTCATCAAAAGTTAATTTTGCTGATTATTATTTTTTTCCTTTTTTTTGGTAGAAAAAAGTTGTCATTAAGGTTTCTATTACTGGAAACTCCCATCCCATCCTGAAGAAGTTTCTTGTGGATTTTTTGAAGCTAAAGTACCTTGCCAAATGTTGGGGGAACAAATCTCAAGATTCTAGATCCAAAGTCTTGTCAATTGCAGCAAAAATACCAGGTAACAATATAGTAGTAGTAATAATAATCTCTGTTCTTAAGCCTTAGTACCACTTTTTTAATTACTATATTTTGTAAGTTTTTAATTTCCACATTCACGTTTTATCCATAATGACACCTTGTTATATAAATAACATGACATATTTAAAATCACAAGGTTCAAATATTACTTTCATTATACTATACAAACCTTTAGTACAAGATTATAAGATTCAAATTATATTTTACATTCTTAAATTTCGTGCATGGTCAAATTAAGATACATGAAATGAAAGGAAATTAGAGAGTATATTACATCTAGTATGACTGCATGTTACAATTTAATATGGTACTGGAGACATATACATATCAATTATTATATAGGTGGATCTAGAATTCGACGGTCGCGGGACACTATGACATTCATTTAAATTTATCACTTCTCATAAAGATTGATACGAGATCCTATGCTAATAGCTCACTATTTTATAAAGACATTTTTATAAGTATACATGAAGTTTTTGCCGAAGTTTTCGGGTGCCCGTGACCCCTCAATCTATAATTTGTGTCTGTCTCTGTCCTTGAAGTATTTACACGTACTTTGCGTGAGAGATAGAATCAGATCCACACAACAATAACAACAATAACAACAACAAAAACAACAATATATCCAGTAAAGTCCTATAAGTTTGGTCTGAGGAGGGTAGTGTGTATACAAATCTTATTCCTGTCTTGTGAAAGTAAAAATGTTGTTTCTGATATACCATCGGCTAAAAAAACGCATCATCACCACAGTTAAGATAAGAAACTACGACAAAGGAGAATCCATCAGTCAGAAAAAGGTAACCGAAGCAAAAGCAATACAAGTCCAAAATCTAAAAATAGGAAATACGAGAATACACTAGTATTACAGATATAGAAAAGCAATACAAATACGAAAAAAATTAGCTTTCTAACCTATTGCTATAATCGGATCCACACGTGAACGATAACATTGGCTAACTTGAACATTTGCAGAGGTAGAGAAAGTAGCTATAGAAGGGGAAGAAAAGAATGAGCTGATGGCGATAGGTGAGGAAATTGATGCAGTAGAGTTGGTCACTATACTTAGGAAGAAAGTAGGTTTTGCCGACATTGTGAGTATTGGTCCAGTTGATGGTGAAAAGAAAGAAGGTGATAACAAAGAAGAAAAGCAGAAAGGAGGTGATGATAACAAAGGCGAAGAAGTTGCAAACTCAATATTCCCATTGGTCTATGGCAGTGGATTAATACCCCCTTTTCAAATTTGGGAAGTTAGAGATCCCTATTGCTCCATTTTGTGATTCGTTTAACTTGAAATATCAATTATGCAGCAAATTGTAAATCCAATTTTGGACATGGTATTTTGTAATGGGAGATATATGCATGTTTAGGGGCGGAGCTAGAACACAAGTTACAGGTTCAGCCGAGCCCAATAGCTTTAATCTAAGTCCTATATTTGTCTTAAGAAATCATTGAATATGTAGAAATTATTACTCCCTCCGTTTCAGTTATTAATAGCTACACAAGATTCAAAATACAAATCAAACATTGGATAAAATGATACAATACCAGTATTAGTTATTCCATATAGGAGGTCGGATAGTTAATCTCATGGAATATACTATGATTATAATCCCATGTGATATACCAGAACTGAACCGTACCAAACGACTTCATATTTTACCTTAAATCAAACGAATCCATGAAATTTAGGAAAAAAACAACCTACTTATTGTAAAGTAATTTATGCCATGCCTAACATAACCCTAGTTTCTATTTATAAGCACGGAGCACCCCACTTTTTAGTTAAATATAATAACACTAGAGAGTAAGATTCTTCATTTAATATATTGCGGAAATTTGATGATTGATTAACGTGGAATTTGACCTCCATATAATGCATAAAAAGAATGATTTTTGGCTCGTAAATTAAACCACACTATTTTCCTACATTTCGTAGCGTTATATAGCATGTAATAATGTATGGTAATGTTTCACATTACTTGCGGGCATGTGATAAGTATGTATTTCTAAACGTAGATAGAAGAATCCTGAATGAACAACTAATCGATTCATTTAATCAAGAGAGTTTATGATTGGTCCAATTTGGTTCTACACATGCTTAGCGGCGGAGCTATCATACTGATTATGAGTTCGGCCGAATCTAATAACTTTAGTCCAAAATTTATATTTCTCTAAAGAAATTTATATAGATTATTAATTTAAAACTCATTAACATAAAAAGATTATAACCCAAATCCATTAACTTTAAATCATGGCTCCCACATGCTCTTTTTAGTTTGAACCATCTGAACCCTTTGAGGGACTAGAACGACTGTGATGGGAATGTAGGGCCTTAAAAGTTGGAAATTAGGATTGACGTTGCCCTCATCTTTCTTCCTCTTTAGGTTCAAGTTCTCATACAATTCAGTCTTTGTGGTAGACTCAGCGAAAGTGATAGAGTTGAATTGACCAAATTATCATTAAAAAAAAAGGAAGTATTTTTAGTGATAACAAATTTTATCTAAGGCTAACTAAAAATAACATTTAAAAATATATTAAAGTACTTTTGTTTTATTGTAACAACAACAAACATGAGTTCACAATACACCTAAAGAGCAACGAACCAAACATCGGCCTTCTAGGATGATTAATGTGGAGAATTAGGCCTCACAAAAGACTTTCTAGTTACACATGATTTTTTGTATCAGTCTAATGTTCCTATAGTTTCTTTTAGTCTGGATTAGAAGTTCTAATCTATGTACAATCTCCTTCTGATTACTACAACTAGCTCAATATTTACACTTCGTTTCTTGAAAATTGCCCAATTCCTTGCCCTCCACGTATGGTAAATGAAAGCACTCCATATAGTCGCTACCGTTTCCTTAGTTGCTTGCTTCCAATGCTTACTTCTGATTCTTTCCATTACCCTATTCACCTCTTCTACTTGAATTTGGATGCTCAGCCAGCTTTCCAGTTCCTTTCGAAGTGCACTGGTCCATGCACATTCTGCAAATAGATGTAGGGGAGTTTCTACTGTGTGTGTACTACATAGGCAGCATTCATTGTTATCCACTTAAATACTCAGCTGTCAAAGCCTATCTTTCGTCAAGAGTCTGTTTTGTACAGCTAACCATAGAATGAACCGATGCTTTGGTTGAGCAATAACAGTCCACACCATGTCAGCAGCTGGCCATTTTGTAAGATTACCTTTTAGAGAAATGTAGCTTCCTGTAATAGCATACCTTCCAGTAGAATTCAACCTGTATTTGCCATTTAAGTACCAAGTGATAATGTCATCCTTAAGAGAGTTTATCTTCTTCCACTACCAGTTGCATTCCAGAGGGAGCATATGTGTCCAAATATTATTGTCATGCTTCATATACACACCATGAACCCACTTCACCCATAAGGAGTCATGTTTCTCTGATAGTTGCCATATAAGCTTGCCAACAACGACAATATTCCATTGTCAACAGCTCTTAATATTAAGTCCTCCAAACTTTTTAGGCACACAGATCTTATCCCAAGATATTAGTGGTGTCTTCTTCTTCTTCTCCTTTGTACATTCCCATAAGTACTCCCTACATAATTTATCAACTTCTTTAAGCACACTTTGAGGAAGAATAAACACAGCCCCCAGAAATTATGTATGGAGAAGAATACTGCACTAATAATTTGTAGTCTCCCAGCAAAGGATAACTGCTTTGAATAACCACACTTAATTCTCTGAGTGATCTTGTTAGTCAATTGATGACAGTCCAGTTTGTTCCACTTCTTTGAAGAAAGTGGTAGTCCCAGATACCTAATAGGGAAGGTCCTTATTGTGAATCCAGTTATTCCCAGTAGCCTCTTTTTAGTTGCTTCATCTACCCCTGTAACAAATATACTTGATTTTTCCATGTTTGCTATCAATCCTATAACCTTGGTGAAGTGATCTAGTGCCTTCATTACTCTACTGGCAAATTTTTCTTGCCTTTTGCAGAAGATCAGTAAATCATCAGCAAACACCAAGTGTGTGAGCTTGAGTTGTTTACACATTGGATGAAACTTAAAATCTGGAAGTTCACTCATACACTTAAGTGTTCTTCACAAGTACTCCATAACTAATACAAATAGGAGGGGATACATGGGATCTCCCTGCCTTAGTCCTCTTCTTTCCTCAAAATAGCCACTCCCTTCCCCATTAACAATGATAGAATACTTCGTTGAGGTTACACACTCCATCACAAGCTTGACAAATTTTTCTGGAAACCCATAGCCATTTAATGCCTCTTCTATAAATTCCTAGCTCTCCATGTTATATGCTTTCCTTACGTCAATCTTCATAAGGCATCTAGGGGTTATTTTCCTATTATAATGTCTTAGAAGGTCATGGCAAACTAAGACATTGTGCACCATGGATCTTTTCTGTACAAAGGCAGTCTGATTTTCAGACACCAGATGGCTAACCCCTTCTTTAAGCTTCAAGCATATAAGTTTTGATATCACCTTATAGATCACATTACAACATGCAATTGGTCTTTATTGACTAGCATTTTCAGGAGTTGATGAGTGCAATATTGGTGGCATTTATCTATTTCAGAAGTTGTCCATTTTAGAAAAAATTCCAGCACTACCTCTGGTACATCCTTTCCTATTATACTTCATGCTGCTCTGAAAAATCACTTCCATAACCATCTGGCCCAGGACTCTTATTGATGTTAATACTAAAGTCACCCCTCTTAACATCCTCTTCAGTGAAAGGCTTGAGTATGTTCAACTGATACTCCTCTGTTAGTATTGGACCATTCCTTAGAAAACCTCTGAAGGCTCTGATTCTTTCCTCATGTTTCTTCCCTAGAAGATCCTGATAATAATGAACAAACAGTCTAGCTATATCAGTTTGTTCTGTTTTCCAGTTGCCTTGATTATCCTTTAGTTGAACTATGGCTTGCTTTAGTTTACTGTGCTTTATTACTGAGTAAAAATAGCTGGTATTAGCATCCCCTAGTTTAATCCAACTAGCCTTGCTTCTTTGCTGCAAGAATACCTCTGCTAAGTAGTATGATTGCCTTAGTTTCTGATGTTTCTCTTTTTCTATCTGCTGCAATATCATATTCCAGGATCCATATTGAGTTGTTCCTGTATAATATTCAGCGCTGCCCTATCTTCCTATGCTTCAGTGACTATATTCTTGTAGTGTTGTGTATTAAGCTTCCTAAGCTCTCTTTTAAGAAGCTTCATCTTCCTTAAAACTTGAAACGTTTTACATCCTTCCACGTGCATTTCCCAGCCTTTTTCAATCACTCTCAAGAACTGAGTATGCTTGGACCATACATTACAGTACTTGAAAGTTCTTCTCTGCTTAACATTGATGTCTCCCATTGTGATATTTATAGGGAAATGATCACTAATTTCCTCTGCCAAATATATTGCTTTACATGTGGACATGCTATGCAACCATTCATTATTGATAAACATCCAATCTATTTTTGAGTATATCCTTTGACCTTCCCCTTTATCATTCCAGGTAAATATCTGGCCATTGTGAGCTAACTCCATCAAACCACTCTTATATATGCAGGTTTTAAAGTCGACTAACTCTGCCCATGTGACTGGGTTCCCACCCATTCTATCTTCACTACTTAATACTGAATTAAAGTCACCAACCACAAGCCAAGCCTTTATGCTCCCGCTGCTTAGTGTTATTATCTCTTGCCAGAGGGTTCTCCTTTCTTCTTTTGTATTGAAAGCATATACGAATGATATTATGTAGTTCACCTATAAGGGAATATGCAACACCTTACAAGTCACTATTTGTGCCTCAACATTGACATGAACTACCTTATTGTAATCTGGCCTCCAAGCAATCAACACTCTTCCATTATAGTGTGCTTCAAGATTAGTAATATAATTCCATCCTTCAAACATGCTTTTTGTTATTTCTTCAACTTTATTTATATTTATTTTTGTTTCCAGCAATCCTACTAGCCCTACATCCTCATATTTTTACAGAGTAGTTTAGCCTCCCTCTACTTATTTGGGGCATTTAGCCCCCTCACATATCAGCAGAGTAATCTAACCATTCCCTGTATTGGGAATAGATCGACCAGCCTCATTATTTCCTTGGCCTTTACTTGTACCACTACCAGTTCTTTGGAGCACTTGAAATGTATTGTTTCCTTCCATTTGTTGTTGTTCTTTGTTCTGTTGCCTCCCTACTCTCATAAGAGTGATCCACTCAGTAGAATGGGGCTGATTCTCTTTACTTTTTCCATCCTAACCATTGCCTTCCTGTTTCTTACTAGCATGTGCTTGTATATTCCCATGTTTCTCTTGTACTGTTTCTTTTCCATCAGAAGTTTGCTTTTCTGTTGAAACCTTTTTATGCTTCCATCAGAAGTATATTCCCCTGTTTCTCTTGTACCTGTTGACCCTTCTTATCACTTTTCTTCATGCAATCTGCATTATCATGCCCATATTGGTGGCAAAATTTACATAGGGTAGGTCTTCGGTCATATACAACCCTTTGCTCAATCATTTGACCTTTTTCATTCCTAAATATCATAATGTCAGGCAATTTAGTGTCTAGACCTACCTCCACCAGAAGCCTAGCAAAATTCAATCCAACTCCAGTTTCTGTATTTTGGTCTACCATAAGTGGCTTCCCAACTAAGCTTCCTATCTTTCTCAATCCCTTAGGGCTCCAATACTTGAAGTCAAACCCTGGTAATTTAATCCATATTGGAACCGTTTGTATTTCTTCCTTTGAAAACTCCATATCAGAGTTCCATGCTTTAACAATAAAAGGTTTATTGTCTAAATGGAAAATGCTTCCCTGTAAAACTTCATTTTTTGCAGCCTCTGTTTCAAACCTTACCAGAATAATACCATTTTTTAGCATCACAATTTGACTTATTCCATGTTTTGACCACATCCTTTTAATGTATCCTTTGATTATTGCATATGGAGGATGGGCTCCCAACACATAACACACAACAGATATATTCCAATACTCAATTTCTGAGGTTATGTCCTCTAATTCAATTGCAGTGATAGAGGTCTCACCTTGCACAAGAGGAGCAACATATTCGAGTTTAAATCCAGCTTTGTTAATCTTTGTAATGTCAAATTTATCCCATATGGACTCTTTTGGAGGTAGGGATTGCAGTTCCTCCTCAACTTCATCAGCCCATGACTTCCTTCCACCAATCGGAGATGAGCTCTTTCCCTTATCAGCTATTGTTTGAATAATCGCACTCCATAGATGCAATTTCTGCATCTGACCTTTTTCCCCAATTTCAGCTTCAGTTTGGTCTTCCCCCACTGCCATTGGAGTAACATCTGAACTACCAATAATTTTTGTAAGACCGATTTATGCAATCTTAGATGTAGATGCCGTCACATTGGGTTGTGATGAAGTGCTCTGATCTTCCTTCGCATTTGGCAAAACTAGGGTTAATGCTCCGTTGGTTCCTTCCTCTTCGCTATTCTCCCTAGTTTGCTCTCCACGAGAGCTTTGCATTCCTTTCAATCCACGTTGAGCTACTCCTTTTACCGCATCCGCTTGTGCCATTAGTGCTTTTTGAGATGGAATTCGAGCTCTCTTTCCCATGGCAAACGCACGTTAGTTAAACTGCGCCGAGAGAGAAGATACCATCCGTGAAAAGCTTAATTAAAGATAATATATTCATAATTTGTTTAAAACTCAAAATAAAAAGTGCAGGAATTTGATTAACTATCTAGGAATAGTAATATATAAATATAATAATGTCATAAATCACTAAATTTATAATTTTAGAACGACATATTGTATAAATTATAATCAAATATTTTTTAAAAATCTAAAAATAAAATATTTGAGACATATAGGGCCAGATAATCCAAAAACAAATTACTAGTTCTTTTTTTCCTGATTGTTATGACGGTAGACATTTGATTGTTATATTTATAATTTTGTGTACTTGGGTCAATTGGTATAAGCGAACTCTTTGGAGTCCACCGAAATTCATAGAATTATCTAGTTCTAGAGCTGCATTTCACCCCTTAAGTTTATGAAATCACTAATGAGCCTACCCAAAAAATATTGTGAAGAAAATAATCGAAAAGGAACACTCTACACACCCCCC